TATTTTACTGACCTGTGGGTGCACCAAATATTAAAGGCGATTTCATCTCCCCTTTGAAAAACAGCACCGAAAAATACAAATACCAACAAAACCCAAGATCTGTACTGCATTACAAACAATCTAAAAGCAACAAATGTATTTTGAAACATAAACCAGCAACCTTAACACTAGAGCGACTGACCAAGAAGTGAAGTCACGACAGGCCGTAAAGGCCATTACTCATCGACCTCAGTGAGTTTCAATGACTCCTTCAGGCTTGTGCAGGATTCAAGGTTTCATTTTGTTTGCACACACGATACAACCAGTACAATCAATGCAAAGGCTACAGATACCAAAAAGCCAAAAACACATAGCCTGATGGGGATGACATCACACGTGGATCAAATGCTAATTAATTGTTTAAAGAGGAAAGGAAATGTAAGCAAAGTTCACGATGAAGAGAAAGAACCACAGACAGTGGCTCTACTGCGCAATTTTTGCTGTTAATACACTTTTACTTTACGACAAAGACGTTCTTTATACATATATCAGAACTGCTGTTTACTTAGGAACAAAGACATGAATAAAAGCATCCAACATTACCAGCTAATGCACATATTTTTGACACTGCCTCTTGAACAAAGCTCTACGTAGCACCGACGGACTCCGAGTGTCGACACTCTGCACTTAAACAAGCATACAAAGAGAGTGGCCTCTCTGTTTGACATATAAATAAAACAAAACCTTCTCCACCATCAACGAGTCCAAGCTAAGATCGCATGCAATCCACCCTTGACATGTCAGAGACGGAGATGGAGACGGGCATCATGAACTCTGGCCAGGAGGAAATGGCCACAGGTAAGAGAAGCTATGTTGATGTGCTGAACTTCTCCAATCATTTAAGCATACTAATACTAATCCCAGTAAAACTAATGATAAAAATAACGTGTTCATGTGGTATACAGGCAATCTCTTACTCTCTCTGTCAGCAGGTTCTCATGAAGCTTTCTGTTATCTTCATGTTTAATAAATAAATGTCAGCTTTTAGCGTTATTTTGTCTGATATGTGCATTTATCCTCTGTAGCCTTCATTCGTATCATGGCTCCCTTCATTCAGTCGTTAAAACTTAAAGAACCCCTGTCTTAAACTAATCTGCAGCTATGTCTATGTTTATCCTCGTCTACGTGACTGCCTGTGCAAAATATTCTGCTTCTACATCATCTCACTATCAACCGTGAAACCAACCAACCTATAAATTGCCAATATCCTCCACTTTCAGTTTTCAGATTTACAAAGTGCTGCATCAAAATGACACAAAATGAGAAATCAGGCATTTTAAATGGAAACAATCTTTGTCATTCATATATTCAAAGTAACATTTCTGAGCTTGCCCAGGCTGTAATATCACAAAGTTGGCATGGAAACAAGCACAAAGTAGATGATGAACCCAAGCACCTCCGTTTCTCGCTAGCCAATTTTCTTACATCCCACCACCTGACTGGGTGAGAAGATTCATTTAAACTGGTCTCAGCTTCTGGCAGAAGAGTTACAGTCGAGTGAAATTAAAGCAGAAAATAATATTAATTTTACTTTCTGTCACATGTGTTATAAACAATTTCTGTTGGATCAGTGCTGGTGCTCTGATTTCTTCCTAGCTGCCTAGTAGTTGTGTTGCAAAAACTACAACTTAGTTCAAACCAAGGTTATAATAGTGAACTAAACACAGTAATCTAAAAGTAGCTGTGAAAAAAAAACTTTTACTTAACTGAAATAAAGATAAGAATTAGATTTTTTTTAAAGAAAAGAAATAAAAAAAAACTACTGAAATTAAAATAAAAATCTGGACAAATTTTCCCCAGTTTTAGTCTTTGTCAGCACGGTTACATTTGCCAACACAACTAGAGTCATCTCAGACCGGGATCACTGCATGACTGTAACCTATCACCCAGCTATTCTGGACTCTTTAAATCTGCCCCGAATTATAATAATCACCAAAACTGAAACTAGCAAAAACTAAATAAAACTAAATTGAAACAAAACATTTTTAAACAATGTAACTAATAAAAATATACAAAACTGTAAGCAACTCTGGTTATTACACAAGCAACAACCAAAAATAGAGAATAATTTTTTACCACAGTCCACATCACTTGATCGTAATTAGCTCTTAAACAAAGAATAAACTCAGTCATTCTGATGTGTTTATATTTCCCTCACTGCATGAACATTGCAGCTTTCGTCAGGCGAGCAGCTCTGCTTTGGGTCAGGGAAGAATGGATAATGCAAAATATTTTACTGAGGTTTTGGTCTTAGCTTCAGAATTGTTACGTCCTCATCTTTAGTGCACATGGATAACAACAGTTAGAATATTGCAATACTAATTTGTAGTAGTAGTGCAGTACTGTTTGCATTTATATTTGGTGCACCCTGCTGTGTCTGCATTGCTCTGCCATCAGGAGTGAAACCGAGCCGTTCATGATGGGCTTGGAGCTAATAAATCTTTAACAACAGTTACTATTACTGAATCACAGGAAGGAGAAAAGGATTCACAACAAACGGAGTCTACACATATTCTGTGTATATGTCTACACTGGCAAAAAAAACCTAACATCTACAGCCTACTGAGCAAGATAGCTAAAACTAAAACCCTAAGAAAATAAAATGCATTTGCGCTGCATATTATTACTGAACAGACCTGTCACAGTTCAGTTTGTGAGATCCATGTCACTGTAACCTGTAGTTACATTTCTGTGGAGATCAAGCTACACTGTAGGCTGTAGCATAGATTTTAAACCACAGATTTAACATAGTACTATAAATCCAGCTTACAGAGTGCACATTAGTGTGCAGCTAAAATCACAAATAAGGTCCAGAGGAAGGGGAAAGTTGAGGCGTGCGATTTATGAACACAGGAAGAGCTGATTCATTTCAGTAATCACCAGCATAATCCACCAAGAGCACGCTTGATGAAGGTTCGAGTAATCTGCTAACAACTCAAGTGAAGCTTTCTACTTGGTACTTTCAACTGCGTCCTTACTTTAAAGACTAAATTTACTGTCAGTGGATAGCCATGGCACACACTCAGACTTGATCAGCGATTACGCACTTATTCCAAATAAATTAGCTGTTTTCACACATGCAGTGCAGCCTTGAATTCTTCACATCACCCAACAGAAATCCACGTGAGAATGCAAAAGTCTGACACATGCAGATCGGGCATTTGCCAGTCTTCAACCTGCCAGCTCCCCAATACAACATCTGTGCGATGTCAGATTGTGCTGATGTGAGAATAGAGCAGATAATTGTCCAGTGCATTCATTACTAAAGAGTGGGTGTCATGTGCACTCCCTCCTGCGTGCTCTCTGTAGGCAGCTCCTTCACCTAAACCACAAGGCGTAGTTCCAGTAATGCAAATGTGTTTGAAACAGACTACTCACTCCATATGAGGAAGGACAACGATGGAAAATATCCCTGATTCTCCTGAAATTGCAAAAACACTCATAGTGGCAACTACTGCAACCATTTCGAGCACTGAACACCTCATTGAGTATAAAATTACCCCTCCAAATATTGCTAACTTTTCACTGCACCTCTTTTGTAAATCCCAACAGCCATTGGGGGGTTTGCACTTTCTCTGTCATTAATAAATCTGCCCTATAATGGATAATCTGTGAGGTACTGTTGACTGCAAGCACTCTTAAATGGAATATAATTAGAGGCACAATCTGTCTCAATTGAGAACCGGAGTTATCCACGTCTTATTAGACTTTAGTAAGAGTGATTTATAACAGGCCTACAACCTTTAGAGAACCATGGAGTTCACTACTTCTGAACCCTGCTTGATATAGAAGCCCCATTAGAAAGCAGTTTTCTAAGCTATTCTTCTTTCTTGTAAGTATCAGCTTACAGACCTCATTATGTTTACCAATTATGGACAAGCACTCAATCTCTCTTTCCTTTCTCCCTCATGCAAAACGGCATCTTCACACAACTTCAGCACAGCTGGTATTTTAAAGGCTCTCCTGATGGTACAATTTAAGACAACACTGATAACCAAAAGGAAAATAAAGATATCACCACTGGAATGTCAGGGTGGGATTGTGGGTGTTGCATATGATTTAATCAATTCCTGCACACATAAAGTGGGACATTCTAACACACAGTTGCAGAGATATAATAATGTTGTGCAGAACCAGTAATGAATGCATGGCCATTAAGAGCGAGCTAAGTAAGAAAACTACCAGCACAGCCATGGAGGCAAGAAAAAAGAAAGCCATAAAACACACAGGCAGCAGAAATGATGAATGGCAATGATTTAGTCTGTGAAGAACGACAACACAGACTGAGGTAAGAACAGAACAATGTAGTATCCTGTCCCCAAGTGTATAAATTCCCCCTGTGGGAAGTAATTAAAGGAGGGATTCTTTTTTAAAATTCAAATTTCAAGCCCTGTACTCTACGGTATCCTTAGTCTACAACAAAAACTGCATGCGTGACCTAAAATGAACTAAAGTTTGAGTCGAAAATGCCTCTGAATAAACACAAACAACCACTTCATCTGTATTTTATTCATCTGTGACTCTTCTACTTCTTTGCTAAGAGTATATTTCACATTAATGGAATTGCTTTTCCATGTTGTAGCCTGTGTAATATCTTAAAAGTGAAATTCTAGCATTTCTAAGAAAATACCAGTCCTCTGCGAAGCCCAAAGCAGTGGAAAAATTCTTATAAACTTTCTGAAAACAGAAACAAAGAGAAAAAAACAAACAAACAAAAAGCCATCTGAAAGCAAGGGAACAATAGTAAAGTGTACGTGAGTCATAGCCAAAGCATTGATGACACAGCTGTAACCCTAGAGAGATACTGAAAGTGAGAGGTACTGGGCCAGAGTGCATAAGATACAAGCTGCACATCTCTTCACACTTTAGGCTGTGTGGCTCAGCTGACTCTAAATCTGACAGAACAGAGGTTCAGGCCACAAAGAAATGATGTCCCATTTCCCCTCCCCCTCGTTTCTTACCGGTCCCTGGGCGTCCCATGATGATTTGCTTGCGTGGAGCAGGGTGAGGCGACTCTGCTGGTAGTATGAGGGGCAGCAGGGCTGTTGGTGTGGGATGACAGGCTACCGGCTGTGGCAGCGCCCCTCCACTGGCGTCCTGATGCCCTTCGGGTTTCCTCTCCCTCTCCCTGCCTCCGGAACCAGACGAGGAGAACACAGAGCTTGATGAAGAAGACATGGACCCAGGAGTGGAGGGGCTGGAGAGGGAAGCGTGGCCCCCTGTGGCTGGAGTCAAGGACTGGGGAAGAGACATCAAAAAAAAATATTTATAGTATTTTAAGGAAACTCGGATTATTCAAAACATCCTGCAGCTGGTAACGCCATTTCCAGGTGTGAAATGGTTTCAAAACTGTTTAATCTCATTTTAATGGATTCCTTACCCCAACTCTGGGTGTCACAGCTCAAAATACAAAATGTACAAGGTTTAGGTGATAATGATGTGCAGTCCCATGCACAACTGTAGGCTATTTTAGAGGGTGAGATTCATCACGAATATCATCAGAGGCACCTGATTGGTCCCAAATTTATTCTTTAGTTAGAACAAACTTTGGAACAAGCAGGCCCCAACAGAGACTTGACATCAACTTCATGAAGTCAGTCTGGGAATGCACGCAAACCAGTCTACCAGTCATATCTTTTAAAAAAACATGGACCTGCATAAATTGTTGCTGTTTTAAAGAGACAGTTCACCTCGAAATTACTTATTTTGTCTTTGGCCTATAGTTTCACTTGTCCATCTAGATCACTTTGGTATAAGTTGTCAAGATGTCACACACCTTTTATTCAATATAATGACATTAAACGTTTGTGGTAACAAAGTGGCAAAAATACATGTGAAAATCTCTTTCTGGAAATCATAAGCCATTAGGGATCCTCACTTACCAAAAAACTAACTTAAAACTAAATAAATAATAAATACATATGAACTAAACCTCCTGCAGTCTAATGGAGAGTGACTCCGGACTGTCACAGAGAGGAAAAAGTAAAAGAAAACGATGGGCTGGAGAACATTGCAGCAAAATAGATTGTGGGACAATAATTGTTTTGTCTCGATTGTCTTGTTTTTATTACTGCGAGAAACCAAAATTTTACTCTAAATTAAAATTCAATTAAGTCTACAGCCCTGTGACGCAGTTACTCAAAAAAATCACAAACATTGATGTTTCCTTCCAACTGAAGCACACCGGCCAGTCAGAAGAAGTGCTCAGATGGCAAACATGGCAGCTTAGCAGAGTGGTCACCATTAATGCTTATGGTTGGACGTTTGCTTCCTTCTACACAGCGATGTGGTTCAAAATTTGGCAGAAAGTAAATGACAAGTCACTACATTAAAGTGTTCAAGGTTTCAGGATCTTCTTGAGTAACTGTCATGGAAAGAGGCATTGTTGCTCACTTTTAAATGTATTTTGTTGGATCTTTTGTTTTCAGCAATTTGAAAACCACAAGGCAAGTAACATTTTATTAATTCAAGAGAAGGAAGGACTAGACTAACCCCCACTGGGGCCAAACTGGTGTAAGAACAGGCTGAATGAATCATTATAAATAAAACACTCAAACAAAGGTATCTTATATTTATTTTACTAAAATACAGCTCGAATCCTTTTCATTGTAAACTGATAAAAACTGTGGGGTTTGGGGATGTGAGCTCTTTTTAGCTTGACAATCACTCTTTGGAAGTAAAATGGTTGTATGTTATTTAAGAAAGCTTTCTCACTTTATTTCTGTTGCCCTAACACCTATAAATGCTCTATAATATGAGCTAATAAAGACATAATTAAAATATTAGAGATATAAAATACAAACCTATGACCCTATGTAGTACATAGTCATATATTACAAAAAAAAGAATGACGTCCTTACCGAGCTGGATGTGACCAGGACGAGCGTGGATGTGGGATTGCGGAGGAGAACTGCCCCGTTGGTGGCTGCCCCGTTGATGGGGACGGGGGCCTGCAGGCCTGGGGGAGCTGTGTGCTGGCTGTGCTCCCTCGACCTGCTTCTCTCTCTCTTTCCTGACGGGCCATCGGAGAATTTGGCCAAGGGGACATCTGGGTTGCGTACAATGACTGGGGAGTCCCGGAGGGGCACGATGCGGCGTGGGGACGGCTCCTGGGGAAGTGGTGAAGGAGGAGTTGGAGAGACTAACATGGGTGGAGGCGTGGAGGCGGCAGAGGATGGTGGCCTGCTGGTGGCGCTACGAGGACGAGAGAAGGAAAGTGAGGAAGGTGTTGTGGGCTGACTCTGGGGGGAGAGCACTCTGAAGGCAGCAGGGCTATGGCCCATGGGTGGGTCTCCCACCACTCCACCCCCAACACCCACCAGCTGCTGTTGCTCAGGTTTGGTCTGGTAGTCCTGGACAGCAGGTAGCGGTGGGGGCGGGTGGGAGTCGAACTTCCTCTTGCTGGGGCTCATCGGGACTGTAAAAGTCAGGTTGGTCTGAAAAGTGGGCACAATCCCTGACAGATGGCGCTCTCTCTCTGCGCCTGGCGTACCCATCTTAGTGCCGCTTAGCTGTCGGGGGCGGCGTGGGGTAAGTGAGGCAGTAGCATTGATGGGGCTGAAATTGGCAGGGCGGAAACCGAAGAGCGGAGAGGGTGACGGGGATGGCGTGGGTGAGAAGGGTGACTGGTTGGAGATGGGGGAGAATGAAGGCGTGCCAGAACGAGAGCCCCCGAGAGAGACGAGCATAGTTGCCGCCTCACATTCATCGAAGTCGAAGCGAGAAAGGTCCTGGGGGAGCAGCGAGGGAAGGACGAGGCGGGGGCGAGAGTCTCCTCCACGGCTGCTGGCCTCACTGCTCTCCCGTGATGTCTCATCCCAGTCAAACTCTGAACTGGCTCTCCCACCGCTGAGTCGGAGGTCAGATGGTGTTAGGGTCCCTGTGCTGCTGGCGCCGCCCCGATCCCGGCCCCCTCCACTGGCTTCCATCTCCTTGGTCCTCATGGAGAGGTGTCTGGAGCAGTACCCTCGCCGCTGGGACTCTTTGGAGCAGCCCTCCCGAGAGCACAGTCTCCTCCACTGCTTCCCGTTGAACTTCTTTCGGATACCTGTCGGCGTGCACACCACGTCTCCCTTCTTGTATTTTTGCTGGGCAGCTGTCAGCGGAGTCCGGGAACGTGACGAGGAAGAGGATGTCGAACCTGATCCGGATCCACCACCTGCTCCACTGCTGGTAGAACCTCCCCCCGATGTCTTATCCACTCTGGAGGAGGATGTAGTGGAAGAAGTGATGGGAGGGAGAGGATGGAGCTGAGGGGTGGTAATGACAGCTCCAGCTGCTGCGGCTGCTGCAGCTGCTGGGTCAAGGCCTAACAGGACAGGTGAAGGAGAGGGGTGGGGATTCAAGGTCATGTGAGCAGGGGGAATCCCGATGCCTCGCACCACAGACAAGTGGGGATGGGGGTTGAGGTAGCCAGACGGGGTCTTAGAAACAATGTGACGATGATGGGGAACTGTCATAGGCTTGCCCCCAGATATAATCTGCCCCACTTGGACCATGTTGAAGTGGTCTTCCATGTCTTCTTCAGGGGTGAGGGGCATATATGGGTGATGCTGCTGCTGTTGCTGCTGCTTTACACTGTTTTCCCTTTCTCGCTCTCTTTCCCTCTCTCTTCCATGGTTTCTCTGTGACTCCCACTCCAAGTCCTTCTCGATTTCCCTCTCTCGCCCAGGAGCCAGGCTGAGGACTGAAGTCGGAGTAACGGGCGAGGTGATGCTGTGGCCCGATGTGGAGGAAACGGGAACCATTCCTTGGTAGGGCATTCCTCTCCCTAACATTGATCCCATGCTCGGGGTCATTCCTTGACTCAAATGGCTCACCTCCAAATCCATCTCTTCCCTTTCCTCCCGATCTCTCTCCTTGTCTCTTACCCCCTCTTCTACTTCATGTCCACCAGCAGAAGGCAAATCCAAGTCCCAGGGTGGCACCAGAAGCCGGAGTGTTTGTCTGGAGACCCATACTGCCTGGGTAGCACCCCTGTTGTTTTCTTCATCATCTAGAGAGTGAGGCCTTTCTTCAGACAGCAGGACACGGTAGCGGTTAGCCACCGCAGGGTGTGGGTCTACCTGTGTCACCACACCTTCTCGGTACCATTGCCATTGGCTCTCGCTGCCCTCCTCGTTCCCAAATGGTACACAGACACGGGTGCCTATAGGTACTGGATGCACACCAGGAGGTGGGGCATCTAGGATAATGTCCACCACCCCTGGGGGGCTTTCATGTCGGTATGGATAGCGGCATAACGTCTTCTCCCCGTTCAGCTGAACCTCCAGGCTTCCATATTCACCACTGACGTTACGGACCACGCCAGCCCGGAATACCAAGTCGTGCCTCCTGTCACTTCCTCCCTCCTCATCACTTCTTCTCCTGAGCTGGCGGGCGAGGATCCGCTGATTCTTCAGGCCTTTGGCCAGAGCATCGGACAGTGCGTCAGGGAGACTAGACGTTCTGTGTGTCGACATCTGAGGGGGTGTGTCACCAACTACCTCCAGGTCAGCCGAGTGCTCGCTGGCTGTGTCTGTTGAGGAGCAGCGGGGCAGCGGGCTTGGGGACACCTGCTCTGCATCTGTCACTCCTTCACCTCCTCTGGGTTTTTCCCCTCCAAGCGACAGGGTTGGCGGTCCCGGGGAGTCCTGAGACCCCTCCCTGCTGGTGGTACGACTGTGGAAGTCATCCATCAAGCTCCTACTCTGACCGTTCCCGTCAGAAAGCGAGACGCTGATGTCGATTCCTGGACCCGCTGACTCCTGGCTCAGAGAAAAAGGAGGGGGCGTGCTGGATGCAGGGTTGCTATGGTTACCAGCAGTATTAGATGAGCAGTGTTCGGAGGTGTACTTCTTTTTGGGGACGCGGGCCTTGAAGGTGGCTGTTTTCCGGCTGGAGGCGGGGTTTGGACTGTTGTTGGCGCTTGGTGTACTACTGTTACTACAACTGCTGCCGCTGCTGTCACAGTGGCTGCTGCCACCACCGCTGCTGGCAGCAGACCTCCCCTCCCCATCCGAAGAGTCCCGCGCTCTGGATGCGTCCGCCTGTGGAGACTCTGAATGTGAGTTAGAAGATAACGAGGAGGAGGGAGTTCGGTTTTGCGGAGATCTGCTTCTGTCTCTGTTCTCATCTGAGTCTCGCTTCTCTCCTCCTTCCAGGGTATCCCCCGCTCCTCGCCGCTTTCCTCCTTTAGCCCGGGTGGAGGGAGGGGAGCGCTTTTTTATTGGCTTCATCTTTTCATCTAGTTCCTTTTTCTCAAAACAACTCTTTTATTTATTTATCCCAGAGATTCTCCTTGACGTTCCTCTCTTGCGCTGCCGCGTTATTTCCTCCTCCTTTCCTTTCACTCTATTTTCTTTCTCTGCCAGGCCCTCTCACTCTCATCCTGTCTCGTGTCTGTTGCGCGACTTGCCCACCTTATTCCAGAGACTCTGAAAAGAGGAGAAGAACAGGTGAGTGTGGGTTTCGCGTGCAGCAAAGACACTCAGACGGAAACACAACTCAAAGTAATTTCTGAAAACATTCTAAAAACGGCAAGTAGTCAAAAACAAAAACACAGCAACGATATTAAAAAAATAACTGTAACAAACAGTTAAATTATAATTCAAATAAATGTATTCCCTGCTAAATGATGCACCATCGTATTAGAGTAGTAATGAACATGACTCATCTACAAATTCATTACACATTAATTCATTACATAACAGTTTCTACTCACATTACACAAGACCTACATCCATACCAGGTACATATTGAAAACAGGAGGCCATATTGTAGGATAAACACAATGTAGGCTTACAGCGCAGCATGGAAATAGTGAGGAGCACTCTGCAATTTGCCCAGACAAGCCTTTCTGCATGCAATCCTCTCTCACACACTCACGCACACACTACTTCTTGGCCCGGGCAGTAGAGGCGGGGGAATTCCTTCTTTGCTCACATACTGAAACCCTCCCTTTCTCTCTCTCTCTCTCTCTCTCTCGCTCTCTCTCTCTCTTTCTCAGTGGCGACCTTTATCTATGTATTTCAAAGCAGAGCAATCCGCCCCTACAACTAACTCCATTTCCTGTGGAAGACCATTACCTAACTTCCCGTTACTTTATTCCTCCCTCTCTCTTTGCTATGCTTTCTTTCTTATCCTCCTTGCCTGCATTCGCTCTTTCCACAATATCGATTTTTGTTTGTTTGGTTTTTTTTTTTTTACCTCTCATCTCCCCCGTTTTCCTTCCTCTCCTTCCACTTAGTCTCTATACTCGTTTTTGTGCCGCAGTCATCCAGAAACAGAGAGTTGTTCACAATAATTGCTATTCCACACCAGAGTCATTCAGCAGCGCTCTTAGCCGTGCCAGAGTCATTCAGATTATCTCTTATTCTGCACCAGCCTCATTCACAGCTCAGACTCACGTTTAGAAAGTAAAACAGATTGATTTAGCTGTGATCACTTAGCTGGTTTGTTTGCTGTGTGGCTGGTGTGCGCTGGACTTGCCTAAGGCTGTAGCTGCTGTGGTCTCTAGCTTATCTCTTTGGGAAGTGAAGTCTCCATAGATACAGAAACATGTATATAAGAGGGAGTGTCAACACAGCCCTTATATACTCTGTCATGTAATTCCTCACTCCAGCTGTGATGGTCACTGTCAAAATGTTCTGTTATGATGTCGATCAACCAACCACAAGGCATGTCTACTTGTCAGTGACAGTTTGGCTGTTAACTTACATGTCTGCCTGCCTGTCCCTGTTTCTACATTCGTCCTCCCACTAGTCTCGGTCTCTCTGTCTGCTCGTCTCTGTTCCCTTTTGCTGCCTTCCTGTTTGTCTGTGAAGGCTTGCATTCATTCAGGTCCTTTTAATATCTGACACATCATATCGGCTGGAGAGAAATCCATTTTCAGAGATGAGTGCCACCTGTCTCAAGGCCACACGCACATACACACACATCACACAAAGCAAACATCTATGTACTGATAGCTGATAGTGCACACGGAGAGGTTGAGAGCTCATAGCCATCACTGGCTTCTATGTAAATCCCTATTTAGGACAGACAACTGTAGAGCAGACACCATAAAATAATTTGGCAGCTGGCCTTACTTGGTCACGATAGAGGTATGCTACATGTGTTTACTCAGTAGTGCACTGTGTACAACAGCTGGTGTCAGAGTCATGGGCCGTACGATAAGAGCTTAAAGGCAAACTGACACAACACACAGTGACCTCAGTGAAATATGGTGCAAGGGAGTCCATATGGGAGGTAAAGTAGGTCTGTGGCTTCAATGTTTCACATTCATGTAATCATGAGCCGCACATAAAGAGCGGGGTAACAAGTTCAGTCGTAATTTACTTGCAGAATAGCATTTGAGCTGTTGTGAATACCGACTGTAGGCCCCATGGAGCTGATATAAGTCATATGAGAGAAAGAGAAAAACATGACTGACAGATCATTTAGTCTGAATAGGCATCTGTTCAAGTGTAAGCCACTTTTCTACCATAACTGTGCCAAAATCCTTATGAAATCATGCATGAACTGAATCATAGGGTGATTTTTATTTTACTTTAATTGATATAAAACATTCCCAGTCTTATCAGAAATTAACTCGAACAAGGTTTTCCTAGCTTGGAAAGAGTCTTGAGGAGGGGTGTATGCATGCCAGTGCATGTAAAAGCACCATAGGTCCAAGTATAGGAAAGGAAATTAGTCTGTGTTACCTTATTTGACACACACTAAACCATTTTTCATTTTTTTCTAGGCATTTTATACACTGAAATAGATATCCTGCAAGTAAAGTAGTTAAAATATATTTTAATGAAACTAGAAGTGCGTGGAGGTTATGAGAGAGTTTGAAAATGCAGGTGTTTACAATACAATCATGGTTATCATGACTTGTCTAGTACATATATTCCTTGTGCACACAAAACGTTATGTCCTCAATAACATTTATGCCAACACTGCCATAAACCTCACTACAATATGTGGCAAGGATCTCTAATGTCAAGCTGTGACCTTTTAGAGACACCGGTCCCTTATGATGTCTTCAATGTGTAATATCCTTTAGTTTTCTTATATGCAGAGCCTATGATTAAAGTTCATAGCAGGATCACTACAAAACTACAATAACAAAAGGGCAGGTCATATGTATAAGCATAATATGATAGAAGACAGCTTTGGATTATACTGGTTAAAAAAGAACTACACATTATTGATATTTAATTTTCAAAATCATGGTTTTTGTGACCCTTCTAGGACATATATTCCCCATACATACAAAACTGTATGCCCTACAGGATGTTTATGGTCACACTTATTGTTTACTATTAGAAGCTGCGAGAGATTATAGTGTCAAGAGGTGAACTCTTGCAGATATTTTGGCTCTCGTAACCAGATTTAATTAACCCGCATTGTAATAAATGATATCCGAAAGTGTTCTTACATTGCACAGCACGTCTACAAAGTTATTTGGGCAGGGTAGGCCAATACTAAAATAAGAAGCAATGCTATCAGACAAATGCATCAATAATTTTGTTTACTATACATTGACTTTTCTCGCAAATTAATGAAAACCAAAATACCTATGAATGGAGATGGGCATGAGAGTCTGTAATACTAAAAATAATATAAAATAGAATAATCCACCTATTATTTACCATATTACAATGCATGCATTACTGACATGTTCATTTTCTTAAATACTGAGGTTATTGTGACACCTCAAGTACACTCCTAGTAAGTGTGCATACAAAACTGTAATATCTATGACAATATAGACAGAGTGAACTTTAAGTCCCTTCTAAGTGCGTTTCTAATCCACATTTAGTGGACAGATATCTAAAAGTTGTTTTCAAGTTCATAACAGGCTTACTACAGAGCTGTAATGACGACAGGGCAGGTCAATATATGCATAATCATAAACCCGAGCAGATAACAGCTGTTAACTTCACCAAGACAAGGCCCCAGAGCACAAAATGCAAACAACAAGCGGTGATGTCACCTCTGCTTTAGCTGGATAGTGCCGTGTCAAGCCCTCGTAGTACCGCGATTACTACCAGTTTTACTCCAAACACTGCAGGCCGTGGCGTGCACCGACCAGGCCTCAACTAAACACACAAGGCCTCTTGGAAATCCTCTACTCACTGTTACCGGGAAATAACCGGTTTAACGGGCATACTGACCCTTAATGCCACCATATATGGCCCATATCTGCCAGCTTACACGACCTTAAAGCGACAAACAGCTACACAAACTCGCTTGTTTGGCCCATCCGAAAGTGACAACCGTGTGAAAATATAGCTAAAGCTGCCAGGATAATTTAGTATTCACCCTCGTCGTTATTAGCATAATTGCAGCCGTGTTACATGGGGTGGTTTGAGGGGGGTTAGTGTCAGTGTGTTGCCACAAACTAGTCCAAGGGGAGAAAAAAAAAGGCCTCTACAAGCGCTTTAAAACCACATATCAATCCAAATAGCCACGCTGATTTAATAAAAAACAGGAAGAAAGGATGACAAGCGAGGAGTTTTCGAGGTTTTTCGTAAATAAGCGCTGTTTCTGGAAAGTCCAACGGCTGTTATGGCGTTCTATTTTCTCGTGGAAAAGTTTCAGGCTCACTATGCCTAAGCCGCACCGCTCCCTGTTTTTTTTCTCGCAGAAGACACCCATTCCGGTCTCTTCGCAGGCCACCCAGATATCGCAAACTGTGCTGATCAGCTCCTCTGCTAATACTGTTTGTGGTAAACATGAACAACGTTAGCAAACGCACAACAAGCCCCACTGCAGTGCTGCAGGAGAAGATTTGTAGGCAGCCTGTACTCACCAGAGCTCATGTATAGTACCCCGGTGTGTTTCTCTGATGAGTTTGCTGGGTAAAATAGGGCAGGGTGTCCAGACGTCCGCAGCTGCCAGTTAGCGGCCGTTCATGTTTCTCCGGCAAAGCAACTTAAAAGGAGGAAAAACTACTGCCCTGTACATTCTACACTACAGTCGCAAAATGGTGAATGAAGCCCCAAAGCCTTGACAACCAGCCCGTCCGACCAATCGCGGAACACGAACGCGTACAGTAGCCAATAGGATGCCGCGTAAGGCGAGTAGGGGCGAGGCCGCACGTCAAAGTAAATTTGATTGACGGCGCATCGTGGCCAATCACAGTGTGGGAAAACACAGAACAGCTGTTCGGAGAGCAAGGCTGCTGCGTCCAATAGAGCTGCTATGTGGGTATGTCTGCGACTCTATACAGGCACGCAGGACGAGACTGAAACCTTTCTCTCCTCCTGCCTTTATTTATTTATTTTATTATCGTTTACATTTGGCTATAAACATTAATGCAGAAAAATGGGCTTGTCAAACTAAAGGTTAGACTTCCTTTTAGTGGACAGAGAAGAAAAAAATCACTGCCATGACATTATCAGATTTAATAAAGATCAAAATGTCAGGTCACCAGCTTCAGCTCACAGTTTCTAAAGCAGATTTAGTACGCTTCGTTAGCTGCATGTGTGCTATTTATGTATATGCATGTGTTTCCATGTGCTGCACAGCTGCACTGTGATCCATGTAAGCCACAGGTTGAGTGTAGTTTCAACAGGAGCCACACAGAAAAAAAACACCAACTCCCAAACTCTCATGCTTTCTCTCCCTTCCCTTCTTCCATTCTTCTTTCACCCTCTAAGCAAATCAGAGGCGCTCTAAAAAGCACAGTGCCCCTTTGTCCCGCCTCCTCAGCCAATCAGGACAGCCACTGGAGGCTATACGTCACCAGAGCCATCTGTTATTGGCTGAAAGGCCCGAGGTCTGCAGGCCAATGACCGAGTGGTGTGGTGAGGTCATTATGCTTGTTGCCATCAGCTTGCCCAAACAGAAGGAGTGAAACCCCAGTGAGTAAGTTGGTCCAAACATGGGATTATGGCTCCTGAGAGAGTGACCCATATACACTGTGGGCCTCCCTGCACAAACACACACACACACTGTGGGAGATGTTTGCAGGAGCATATACCCTGAGGAATACAGCACAACACGGAACGTAATGGAAGCACAGAGGCATAGTTTCCTAAGACACTAATGGCGTTGCTGTGTAGCAGTGCGGCACGCCGTTTCTATAGCTTACAGGCACAGATGGCGAGCATGGTCAGTGATGATACAGAGCTGGCTGGCTGGCTGGCTGGTTGCGGCATTGCAGTCTGTCTGGCGCACTCACACGCACATGTACACACAGGCGAGCGGGCACGCTTCCATAGCTACACACAACTGGGCACACACATAAACACAGGCACCTACACACACACAGCAGGCGCAGTGAAGTTATAACATGCCTGGGCGTTACATAAGCTGTGCGTGATTGTAGCACACACACATATATACCCGACTTTTGTGTGCGTACAGCCTCTTCGAGCATGCAAACAGGCACTGTTGCACGTACAACAAACAGAACACAGGTTTATTCTAAGTGTTAGGTTGCACACGCATGCTCGGGCTTAGCTTTCATGTATTAACTGTACACATATGAAGAACCTGTGACTCGCAAATCAGATACACACACACACTTAAGAGTGAGTGGGATCTCCAGACATCCACACCCTGTATAGTGAAGCACTGCAGTCTCTTCCTCTGCTCATTCACTGTAGACAAGTGTGTATTCAAGAAATGTAGGGCGAGTAGCAACTTTGAGGGGTGGCTGGTTTCGTAAGGCGCCGTCGAGAGACATTAGAGTGAGACGGAAACCCGAGATTTAAGTCTCTGCAATGCTTAGAGTGAGGCTGGAAATCAAAATGTAAAGGAAAGGTGGAAGTGAGACAGGTGGAGTGAATAAAGAAGGACAGGAGACTGCAAAGA